TTTTGTATTTTAATGAAAATATTTCAAATATTTGAATTAAAAATTAATCTTAGACCAGGAAATGGATATTACATACAAATTATGCTAGCACCCTCGTATATGTTGGATATGGAAAAATGAAAGTGAAAAGAATCAAATGATTAAAAAGTCGCAATTAAATATGAGTAGCCTTTTAAGAGAATTTATAAAATAAAAAAGCATAATTTAAGTGTGAAAATCTATATAAATCTATAAAATTTTAACAACAATGGTTAAAATTGTCACCAAGAATTTTTAAATTCTCCATATCAACGCCTCCGAACCATAGTATGCTAAGTCGACTTAGCATGTTTTAAAGTTCTTTACGTTTTTAGAATACACCAATTCAAATTCTCTGAAATTTTGGTAATCATCGGTCAATCCAAACCAAAGTTATAAGCAAAAATGTACTTAGCATGGCACGTAAGATTTAAGAAACTCTCATACTTTGAGAGCTTCTGCAAAAACAACTTTTCAATAATTGCATACTAATTTGATGCCTCTCAAATCCACAACTTTTCAATAATTTAATCTGGCTACATTATCCATCCCTAAGCTATCCTCCAATTAGTTAACATATTTAAGTTTCTTAGACCCCCTACTATTTGCCAACTTTTATTTTTAGTACATTTTTTTCTGGTTGGACCAATAAATTGTTCCTTTCCAAATCCCATTAAGCCAACGACGACGATGATGATGATATTATCATAAAATTTTCAATTCCCAGCAAATGTGCAATTAATGTTTGAAGTAACAAAATTTTACAGCTTCTTGGCTTTGCAATTTTGGCTGCCCATAAACCTATTACAAAATCTCGCTGCGAACATGTTTTTTTTTTTTGTACTTTGAGTAATCAAAGACTTTTGTCTGAGTGTTCTGTAAAATTATGACTTTTCAGTTTTTTGTTTGATTGACTAGTGACAAAGAGGGAGATTTCACAAAAAAAACGAAACCAAAAACCTTTTTTTTTTTTGTTTTGGTGAACAGCTGAAAGGAGAATAATAGTTAACACCTAGACCCCCCAAAAAATTACACATTAGCCAGCCAGCAAGCCATTTTACAAATGTTGTGGTCAACTAAATTTGCAATTATGTCGCCGCAGCAGTTAGTTGTGGCTTAATTTTTGCAGTCTTGGCAAAAATTTACACAAACGTATGACCGACAGGCCGACCGATCGTTCCGACGTTTGTGGTTCCACAGAAAAATCGATTTGTTTCTCGAAGAAACAGATGTAGAAACACTTACTTAACTGTGTCGGTCGCTCGGTTGGTCAGTCTCGCAGTCAGTTGGATGCAAAAAGAATGTTCGGAGATAAAGTAGATGAAAACCGACTACCAAGAAACACACGAGAATGCTGAAAATTACAAACCAAAAAAAAATATAGTATATAAAAAATTAATGATTATTAAAGAAATCGTTCGTCGCTAAGATAGTTTTGAAACTTGAAACTATGAAATTCTAGAAAAGACGCGAATTCGTTTTGATTTTTCGCTTTGTGTTTCTTTTCACAGTTTCTTGTGTTCGTTTATTTGTTTGTTTTGGAACTGAGTTACTTTTGGGGGAAAACGTGTTTAAAATGGTACTGACCAACCAGTACCATTGGACGAATCATCGACGCAACAGATTACACTTGTCTCTAACTCGATGGGCCAATAATAGTTATAATAAAAAAAGAAAACAAGTTTTATTCAGTTTTGTATCAACAAACGCCAACGAATATTAGTTTTCGTTTTTAATTGAATAAAAGGTGGCTTGCATTCTTTGTGTTTTTTTTTCGGGGAGGAGGAGGGGTTTAGATTTTGGTTCTGTTTTTATTTGTACATAAACATGGTCATGATTATGACAGAGTTGGGAAATTGATTTCTAAGATATTGATTCTAGAACTTTATGCCCAAAAAAATACCACAATTATTAAAGGTGTTATTAATTATTCAGAACGTCCTATAGAAAATTAGTAAAATTTAGATTAGCAAATATAGTTGTGACATCTTTTCAAAAACAATTGACTATCACGATAAGGTCCTAACTATATAAATAAAATACATAAAACATTTTCGTTTTCTAAATCGTTTTTTTTTTCGTCAGTCTACTGAAATCACAATAGGGTTCTTAAAAATTGACATTTAAACATGAGCTACTCATATGGTATTAAAAATTTGATACATAGGTCCCCGATTTGTTGTATCATAGAAAATGTTCTATATTCCATTTACCTGTCTGTAATTTGGTATATCAGATGATACTGACATAATACCGATTTTAGGTATTCCCTTCGAGGTGAAGAGCATAAAAATGTTGGCCCAGCCGACCTTAACGCCGCTTTTACTTGTTTTAAATAACCACGACCATATTAACAACCTCGTTCGGAAACAATCCTAAGTGACATAAGACACGCCGAATAATGTCCATTTATAAAATCAAAAATTTGTACTTTTACCTGCACTTTGATTTTGTGAATACAGAAGTTCCATCTCCGCTTTGTAACCAAAAAAAACAAATCGTTAACTGTTTTGGTTGAAAATAAAAATAAACTTGAATGCTCCAACCATGAACTTGACTTTGCAAAATACAAAAATAATTAAAAATAAAAATAATAAAACTCTGAACTAAAACAAAATCAAAAAAGTGGTTAAAAACAAAAGTAACGGTTTATTAAACACGTAATTTTATTTAATGTGGGTTAAGTAAAATAAATTTACTCAGAATTGGACAACAAGTAAGGGTAGTCGTATTATCAAAAAAATATTTTTTTAATTATTTAATATTGTCATCTACATAAGAAGTTAGATTTCAGTTCTAATTAGTTAGAATTAGACTTTAAAGAATAATTTACATTCCGACGGCAGAACAAGGGTTGTGAGTGCCGGGAAAAATCAATTGGATGCAATTCTTCAACGTAAGAACGACAAAATTTGTCGGGTGCCTAGGTCTAATTCACTAATACACAAAATCAAAGACAGACATGCAACGTTGATTCTTTCTCTTAAACTTTTTTTAAGTTAAAAAACATTAATGGAAAATGTCCAGTAATGAATTAATTGTTTGCCCTTCTTTTTGTTATTTATGTTTAAAAAATATTAAATTAATTGAATTCTGCAGAAAAATTCTTGTTTTTATTTTCCCTTAAAAAATTTTTAAGAGAATTTGTTCTCATCATTTTCATTTCGTCTGTCATTTTTAAATATGAGGTCTCAATTCAGCTCTCACACATCTACTCGCGATTTAGTTTTGTCCAACACTGTGATTCTTCAATGCTTTATTTCTAAATCGGGCCATGCACTAACTCTTATTGGAATTAAAAACAACAAAAACACGCCCACATTACTTTTACCATCACTGATAGTTTGGTGCTTTTTTCGAACTACTAAACTTTTGCGTGAAATGTTGCTATGCTAAATATTACAACACGTGGTGTCTCGATGTTATTTATTATAAATAGTTTTATATATTTTTTCCTTTCTCTAACAAAATTTATTTTTCTTTAAAGATTATCTGTGGACTTGTATTATTCAATCCCTTTTTGTTTTGAAAGACTCTTAAATTTCAGCTCTATCAAACTGTAACTAAAACTAATTCATTAGATAGTTTTGTTTTATATATACCACTCTTTGTATTTTTCCCACAAAGAAAATTCCGGTTTCATCCGAAATTCGGTTTAGATTTTTTAGAACCGCATGTTACCATTTAATTTCATTAGAGAGGCACATGGTCGTCACAGCATTTCATGCTAATTTTTTTGATGTTATGTAAATTTTTATAAAGTTATAAACATGTGTTTTCGTATTTTCAAAACAATCAATTTGTTAAAATTATTAGTGTTTTTATTCTTTAATATTCAAAACCCTTTTTCGTTTTGTTAAGATGCCGAAAAAAGCCACACGACTCTTTGTTTCTTTTACATAAAAGGTCAATAGACATTTAAATTACAATATTATGCGTTGAATATTTTGTATATCTGTGTGTTCTTAAACATTTTTAAAAATATTTTTGGTTTTTTTATTCGTTTGACTTTTTGTAAATAAAATATTTTTTTCGATTTTTTATTAATATTTATTGTTTCCAATATTTCGATCAACTTAAAAAAACAACAATTTTTTGTTTGTTTTAGGCAGATTTTTAAAATTGGGTTTCTGTGATAAATTATGTTCAATAATAAAATATATTAAGAAGCGTTTAGAATTGGTCTTGCTTTTTTATTGTTTTACTATATATACTAACTAAAAAAAGCAATTTCGGGGTCATTATTTCTTCTTAAACAACTAAAAAGAAACGCTTTTGGAAATCAAATCATATAAAAGTTCGTATCGCAGATAATATATATCGAAATGTGGGACAACATTATATTAGAGCTATTTTCGACTCTAAATTTTGAAATTTACGATTTTACCATGATTTCAACAAACATGCGAACATGTAGAAATATATTTAAATTTATACTCCGATGAACAATCTATGGGGTCTAAGGTAAATATATCGAGATTATTACAACTACATGTCCTTGGTCACACAATAACGGTTAAAATGTTCTTTCAGTTTTTTTTTTTTATATCTTAAACATCACTTCACATTTCTTTTTTTGTGTATCTTCCAAATTTCCAAATAAGTCTTGGAAAAAGACAAAACTTGGTTAATATATTTTCTACAAACATATAATAATAAACAAAACAAAAACTATTTTAGCACAACAATTTCAATTCACACTTAGTCAGAAGCTGGTGGTTTTGTTTTGATATCCAAAAATGTCACGTTTTAATTGTTTAGTAAAATTCACAACGAAAGTTTTGTGCAACGAGGTCGTATTTTAAAATTTAACTATTATCTGTTTTGTTTTTTGCCTTCACTCTCAGCTATGCGGAATTGTTCTACTAAACTAATTCTCACTGTCTTAATTAGAATATTCCCATTTATTTAGAATATTTCCATTATTATTTATTTATTTTATTTTGCAATAATTATTATTACTCTTGTATTCTTTCACTTACATTTTGGTGATCGGGCACTCTGTTTACTGCTTCGCTCATTGAAAAATGAATTTAAAATGCCGGAAGCATTTACCGAACGTTTTGCTCTAAGACTTTTACGTTTATCGCCTGTGCTACAAACGACATTATCTATGCGATGTTGATTATTGGACACTGCATCGACATCTTCAGCATTGACCGAACTATAGCGCCGAGCCAAATATTTAGCGAATTCTTTCATTTTAACATAAAAATAGAACACTACTTTTACACGCGACCGTACAAAAGTGACTTGTTAAGATTTTCTTTTAAAAATCAATTTTTATATTTTTTGTAATTATTTTTATTATTTTCTTTATTTATTTCGGGTTCTTTGCTAAAAAACGTGTCTACGTTTTTAATTCTTCAGATTTTATTTTATTTATTTTTTATTTACTATTTGTTCCTTTAATATTGATTTATTTGTTTTAATATATATTTTGTAATATTTGCTTTGATAGACGACAATATTGATATTTTTTTGCATTAAGCTAGACTTTATAACGCTTGATTATTTGTTTTTTTTTTTATTTATTTATTTTTTTCTTATAATAACAATTTAATTCTTTTTTATTTAATATTTGTTTTTGTATTTAAATTCAACCGTTATTTCGTCTGTTCGCTAGCGTTGCTCGCTAATGAATGAACCCCTAGAAGTAACCCCAACAGACCAAGTAAGATTTTTGTATTCATCTTTATCTTAAACTTGAAGTCAGACTTCACAGAACGCCAGCGCCAGCGGCAGCAGCAGCAAAACATTTCTCACACACACACAATCGCCGCACTCACTGATTCGCAACGTATCGGCGACAACTCAATCGAGATCAAAATGTGTTTTCGCTTGCTGCTGCATACAAGCCACACACTCATATGAACACACACACACCATTACAAAGAAAGTCAGATAATTTTTCAAAATCATATGTGATATAGCTTGAAAGCCAAGCTAACATCTTTCCTTTTTCCACTGCACATACACACACCCACACACACATCTACATATGATGGAAAATCTAGACAAAATCTTTGCAATAAAAATACCGGATATCCATATGAGTCATTCCTTATGCCAATGGAATATTTAAAACTGGATTATTTGTTTAAGTCAATAAACCTTAGGCTACAGTTTGTTTTGGTTATGGAATATTTACTAAATATTTATAATTTTGCAATTAATTAATTCCGAATAACAATAACAAAAAAATGTGTTCAAAAACTGACGTCGATTTATAAATCAAATAAATTGAATTTTTTTTTTTTAAATATAAATCAAATCAAAATTCGTTATTTGTTGTCAATTTGATTTCGTAAAAGGGTTTTCCATAAAATGAGCTATAAATAAACGTATTTAATTATAATCTTTAAAATTGAATTATTTATTATCCAAAACAAGACATGAATGAATTTGTGATGGAGGTTCTAGGCGACATTTTTGATGGTTTTAGAAAATGCATATGCGATATTCAAGCCTGTTAAATGATATTATTATTTGAGTAATTTAGTAGCGTTATGTTTTAGTAGGCCTATACTGTACAATATCCTCCAGTAAAAATCGAAATTTTAAATGAGTATTTCCAAGGTGTATGCATGAATTACAACAACTTATTATTACAAAAACAACATTTCGATGCCTGAAGATTTTGGGGTGTGGAGAATTCCTTGGAGAATACCATAAGATTTTGGGGTGTAGAGAATTCCTTAAATGACCGAATGTTCTTTTTTTCTCTCCCGAGTTCTTGAGCGTATTTTAAGTACTTAATTTTTTTATTTTTTTTTTTAACTCGAAATACCAAGCAACGGCTCTGATTGGGTTTAACATGGCAAAGCCCAGTCTTATCTTGGTCCTCTTTCATCTTAATTGTGTACACTGACCACTCCGCCATATCACCTGTGGTAGCTATCTTCATCATCCGTTGAAAAAGTCAACTGATATGTGCCTCGAGTTCACCCATAAGAACTATAAAAATGGATTGAAAAAAGCAACGAAAAAGAAAACCAAACACCTCTAATGTATAAAGGACCACGATCTGCGAATGTGCATTTGGAATGTGCGCACATTGTACAGAACAGGCGGAGCTTTCGATTTGGCGGATGTACTCAAGAAGTAAAAAGCCGATATTATTGCCTTACAGGAAACGCGATGGAATGAGACAGGCGTAAATAAATCAAATGATCAGCATCAAAGCTGCTATAAAACGAGACATGAATTTGCCTGCTGATATATGGTTAACAGAAGAATAAAAGACATCATCTATAGATGCACTGCAGTAGATTAGAGAATTTCTATAATCCGTCTAAAAGCGATTTATTTGCGTCCATGCTCTGACGGAAGACACAGATGAGCAGACCAAAGACATATTTTACGAGCGACTAGAAACAGCATTTTAATGTCATGGCCATGACAATAAAATTCTGTTAGGAAATTTTAATGCAAAAATTGGAAGGAAAATGTTTTTGATCAGGATCAGGAGCATGCACCAGCTAATTAATATAATTTCAATAGAGGAATTCATGTCTAATGATTGGAGCCTCAGCATCCTGTGCCCCGCGCACAAAAAAGAAGACCAGACGGTATGTGCCAACCCACAAAAAATACATCGACACATTCCACCTTTTCGTCGACATTCCTGCAAAATTAATATGGCTAGCCAGGATAACTTTAACTGACACAATGTCAGAAGTTAAAGTCGGAAAGGACCTCTCGGAGCCCTTAAAAATCGAAAGAGGATTCAGATAAGGAGACAGTTTGTCATTTTAACATCCTGCTGGAAAAGGTCATACAAGATGAAAATGTCAACAGAAATGACACTCTTAAAAGCCCCCTTTGAACGAATGGAGAAGGAGTCTGCCAAAGTGGGACTGGCAATAAATGGCGAGAAGACCAAGCTGATGGTATCAACGCGCAAGACTTCCAGTAGACACGGACCAAATGTGGAACTTGAAAACTACAGCTTCGAGGTAATGAAGAGCAAGAAAGTGGCAAAATTGCCACTTTATTAGCACACTGTTAATTTAAAGTTATTTTGTGTGTCATTTATATATAAACGTCCACTTATAATTCTTTGGTGTTATCTATAACGTGTAATTAATTTGGTCATCGCTTATTTGTTTCGATTAAACTTTTACATCTGTTGTAGTATTTGTTTTTAAATGGTATTACCACAACTAATTTTTTAATTAAATAACAATTATAAAATTGTCACTGGCTGCTGATATATCAATTTGTTCTATATAATGGAATGTCCTATTATTATATAATATGTGATAATTGGATTTATAATTTCATATCGAATTATTATTGGATAAATAATATATATTATCAATACATATATTATATATTAAATTTGTTACAATTACTAAGCAATCTATTGTATGATTAATATAATAAAGGAATTTAGACTCTTTACTTTGTTTCTGTAGTTTCGAACAATTAATATTCTTATATAAAATATTAGATTATGAGAAATGGATTTGTATTACCTGTAACATCACCACTTAAATGTAATACTATTTTATCAATCAATTTCATCAACAATTATTTAAGACAAAATAATCAACAAACTTTCCATATGCATTTTTTTGTAATAATAATCCTCTTTCATTCGCGGTGCTGGTATAGCCATAAACATTTAGCTAATTATTAAAATAAAACATTAAATCCTATTTTTTAATTAGTACTGTTCTACTAATTGAATAAAATTGCTATTTTCTAAATAATTGATCTAAATTTGTTTTAAGTTTGATGGATTATCCGGACAGTTGTGGTCCAAGCCATTCAAAGGCTAATAAATCATTATTTCAGCTCAATTGACGGCAGCAAAAATGAAGAAAAAATAAAATAATAACGAACTCTGACGAAAATAATCACGTTTTTTTTTCAAAATCAATCAGGCTGAACTAACGTTACAAGATGTATGAAAATTATTATAAATTAATATCAAAATTTCCAATACAAGTTTTGAACATGAAATGTTAATTTACAGGGTCGTCATTAAATACACTTTAAGTTGCTGTTGTTTTTAGTTTGAAAATAATGATCGGAATGGAGTCTAAAATTCAAATTTTTCTTGGACAGGGGATTTTAAAAGTTAAGAATATGACTTATGACTTATATATTCTTTTTAAAAAATTCTTAAAGTCTATTTTTTTAAAAGTTCTAACTTCTATGCATTTATCGCTAATTGGATTATTTTATATACTTTCAATACAATAGATTTTAAAAATTTAATTACATATAGCTCATTTAATTTAAAAAATATTTTCCTTACTGAAATTTCACTATGTTCTGTCTGCACATACTTCCCCTGTTAATTAAATAAATAATTATTTTCTTTAAAAAATGTGCACTAGCTTTCGAATTAATTTGTTCCCACAGTGATAATTGTTTATTAATTTTTTTTAAATATTTAATTAAACAATATAACCATTTTAATTCAGTAAAATCGAAGAATGTCCTCGAAACCAGCTTTATGAGTTATACTAACACCAATATATATTAAGATTCCTTGTCAATTTACATTTAAATTTGATTTTCAAAAGAAAACACCTGGTCCATCCCAAGAAAAAAAACTGTACCGAAAACATTTCCCCAAAAAAGAATCAAAAAATTTCAAACTACGTCAATGGAATATTTTTTACAAAATTTTATTTTTATAAATATATATTGTGTTTACAAAGGAAATGAAGTACGAAATTCCCAATGGAAAATTACCAATACTCCTTAATAATTTTAATACACTCTCTTTCTCTCCAATAAAATATCAACAATGCTAAAGGAAAAAAATCCGGTTTTCTTCTCGAAAAATAAATGTTAGAATAATGCTAAATTGAACCTGCATTTTTGAGTTTACTCACTTTGCATATATGTTTTGATTAAAACAAAAAACCTCTCTTTAAATTAATCCTCAATACAATTTTGATTGGCCAGTTTATGATTTGCGTCACATTGTTTTTGTTTTTTTTTTCGAAAAAGTTTAAATTAACACAATATTGTTTTAATGACTTTCGAGAAGTTTGACCTCTAAGCATTTATTTCGGGTTTATTTATTTTTATCTGTCTTTCTTATTAGATCAAACATTTCAATTATAACCCTAATTATATTTAACACTCTTTAATTTGAAATCAAAATAATTTACTTTGTTCTGTTGTTGTTTTTATGTCAACTTTCAATCATTTTTTTTTTTTTTGAGTAGGCAAATTGC